GAGAGAGAGAGAGAGGGGCAAGAGCCCGGAGAGGGATACGTGACGCAAACGAGGAAACTAAATTATTTAAAAACCAGTGAAAGCCAGTGTCGTACGTACACAGAGTTGCGCGAGTGCAAGTGCTAGCCCTGCAGCAAGCAAATGACACTCAGCAAAAGCAGCAACCAATAGGAGGACGCAGATTAGCGGAGCATAGCATGCACCGCCTCGTACTCACCCCTGCATTGATCGATAGCGTTTGTATGCGCACGTGTGTGTGTGTGTGTGTATGCCCAATCCTGGCCAAATTACTTTGCCCTCCCGCACGCTTTCCTATTGCAAACCTGTGCGCCTGCGTGCAGGTACACACGCAGGCATGAGGCGCACGCGTTCACAACCTGCATGCGTGCATGGATGGGGAAAAGAACGGCCAACTGCGGTAGTTAGTTCCTTGCTAGCTAAAGCAGGCGTTTATGAATTACTAGTGAGTGGAGAAGAGAACTTTACTGGTCCTATCGGTGTTACTAATGCTCTTGCCTTCTTCACGTGGCATCTTGTAGTCAGCACTATTGCATGAAATCGTGGCAGTGACTTAAAACCTCAAGGTAGAAGTTTGTGGAAATGGGAGGAAGATTAATTGGATTTGGGACTACTTGACGTTGATTAGCATGACTTCTGGATGTTAAGATGTTTGGCTTCCTCTGCTTGCATAATTTTACTTTTGTTTCACTTGGCGACCAATGAATAGGCAGTTTGACGGCCATTTAAAAAGCTCAGCCAATGATAATGCAGCAACCAGTTTGTGCCGAAAAGTTTCATTTAGCTTTTATCTGAACCAAGGAAGCATTCGAAACCATCTTAAAGCAAAGTGTGGTCAACATAGTTTGCAATTACTTAAATGCATTCGATGGTTAAATATTGTATTCACTAGTAAGCTTGAGTAAAAATTTGCAACGCACGTTGACCTCATTGGCGACGGCAGCATAAAATTCCCATCGAAATTGGAGAGGTACTCGCTTCACCGTAAGATCTTAATAGGTGGCTAATCAACTCCTTTTACTTGGACTTTGTATCTGCCTCGGAAAAATGCCGACAAACGCAAACTCTAAGCCATCGGTATCCTTTTCATTTTGTCACCAATGCCCGAACGACATCAGAAATGCTCCCTTTGCAATGGATGCGTTACTTCTATTTTCTTTTGCTCTGCTTGCAAATAATCCGGTTTGAAACATGCAGTTCATTTCAATTGTTTGCTCCTAAATGGAAACATCTATGCGGAACATTCTAACCAAATTGTTTTAAAATTTTACTCAGTGGCTTAAAGAATTTAAAATGCTTCTGCTTCTGACGAGGCCTGTTTATCGTGGCCCTTTGAGCAGTTAGGCATTTTGTTTAATTGTAGGTCCAACAGCGCAAACACTTCAGTGTGCAGAGCTTTTTACTTCCGGTTTGTAGCATCGCCCGAAGACCGTGCTAGCTGCCTCCGCTCGCAGCTATTCCGCCCTTCCACACAAATTTGTCAAAAATTAAAAAATTTGGGAGTGTGGCAAAGACTCGTATCCTTGCAAAGCTACTCAGAACTTCAGAATGCCCTCAGTAGGATCGACTGGCATTATGGCCACAGTGCTTTTGTTGTTGGTTCACAAATCGCCATTTAATGCAGCGAACTCCAGCGTTTTGTCGCAAAAGCACGGTATTGATACCGCCAGGCTGCCAAGGAGGACCTCAAACAAAATCGCATTTATTCTTGGTGTTTTGAAATTCAAATTTTATTAAGGAACTCTCAAATGATTGACCATACTAACTGAGGCAATAAAGCATGCATTTAAACAACAGCAAGATGCAATGTAATTCAGGCAATAACCAAGGTAGTAGTAGTTCGCTTTATTTTATAAACCCCTTTTAATGTGTCAAGTAAAAGTATTTTCTAGCAAGGCTTCTGCAAGGGCTCCTCTCAGAGGGGGAGGAGGAGGAGGAGCAAGAGGGTACATCAATACAACCTCTTTCCGATCATTTACAGGGTTGAGGCAAACAAACCGACTATTCCAACCTCATTCACTTAAATCGAGTAAAACACCGCTAGATATGCAGGACAGCCACTCATGGCTCTGACACCGGTCTCAGAGGTGACATGGTTGGGGTCGAAAAAGGGTTCGATTTGATGTGATCCCGTGTCTACAAGAATTCATAACTCCCTGTCGAATGTGCATCCGCCTCACCTCACTGCGGGTTTCAAAATGTGCGCATTCAAAAGGCGCCAGCCTCACTATTGAAGAAACAGAGATCTGGATGGCAACCTTCACGACACCCTAATAAATGAAAGTCTACAATGGACGCAAGTGTCTAGTAGACTAGATGAATTTCCATAAAAGAAGAAATTAGTTATCTTCACCACAAGTGAGTTTGGTTAATGTAAGAGGCCCAAGACGACTGTACCCAGTCATAGGCTTCCAT